TGTTGTACTTTTTTAGCTAAAGTAATGACAAACGTATTGCAGAATCAATGAATCCATAGCAAAGATGTAATACTTTCTCTGCTCCTTAAGTGATATACAGGTAAAAAAGCTGAAGTAGTGAAGAATGTATCTGAAAAACAGAATAAAGTGATGCTAACCAGAAAGCAAGGCTGTAAGGAGAGACATTCATATATATATTTATATATATCAATGCACTCAATATTGATTAGGAAGGAAGATCATCAAAAGATATGGGATTTTTTTTATGGGAGTATTATTAATATTATTATTATATAGCGCCAACAGTTTTCACAGCGCTTCACAATATAAAGGAAGACAGTTCAGTTACAATACAATTCAAGACAAGATAGTTAGGAGGACCCTGTCCTTGAGAAAGTACACTGGGAAGTTCTACTTTTAAAGAATGCATTTCAGCTCAGTGCGTTTTTCGATTTTAGATCCTCAGCTTTCTTGGGATAACTTTTGACAGGGTGGAAAGCGACTCTTCAGCAGGATGTTTATCACTGGGATTCATAACTTAAACTCATCAACTTCAAAGGTCATAGTTGGTTAACAGCTGTTGGTTGGGAGCGCCACACATTGTTTTAGCCTGCAACAACCTTTTCTTGGCTTGTACAGAAAAACCTTTACTTACCCCAGACACGGGGCATGTAGTGCAAATATGCTGCTTGTCATTTGGCTGCTTGTGACACTCCCATCCTTTCTTTTATTATCTTACTAGACAAGTCAATTATGGGAAGCTACACAATTCACAAGTGCCCCTCTGCTACTGTTCACACACACTGGTAAGCAACAATGGTGGAGTTATGGCAATGTATCTGGGCACAACTAGAACCAGCCTCCCTGACTGACAGTGTTATCTATGTTAGTTACTCTGCTCAGTGTTGCTGTGCATTATGAGAAAGCCCCAGGTAAAAAGGATTGTAGCAAGCCTACAGATCAGTAGATCAATAAAGGGTTACTTTAGCAATAACCTTGCTACACAGTTAATAGGCCTCCGTTCAGTTATAAATGAATCAGGGTCAATAATTCATCATGTTCTGCTGAAAATAAGTAACGATCAATCACAAAAACCCATTTAACGAAATCTAGTTTTCAAACTGTATTGCATGCTGTTTAATGTCGTGCAAGGCCAAGGAAAAACTATTATATGTGGAGCTGCATCTGAGACAAGCAATCTTATATATGTGTGGGCTTATATAATAAAGATTATTCTATAGGCTAGCCATACACTGCTCAATGTCGGTGGACCTGTCAGCACTACTCAGCTTGGCCAAACTCCATTTACAAAACTCCAATCAGATGCAGTCACTGTTTGGGTGTTCAAGCAGCAATAGCTGCTTAAATAAAATGATTCATTCATCCACGCTGTTTAACGTGAATGGAGGAATCAAGTGATTTTCTCTCGTTTTCACAGAATACAAGGAGTTCTGTGACTGGGCAAGGGGGAGAATGAACATCTGGACCTCACCTTGCCCAATTGCAGTAAGCCTAACAGACATTTAATGCATAGAGGAATGGGGAGAGCAAATTACACTGTTTGTGACTGTATGAGATATGGAACTGATTTACAGTGCTGTAACTTCGGTGCTTTGATTAATGCTGCAGCCAGCCACACGTGACATCCATCATTAGACATCATTTATTTCTACACAGCAAATGCCCAAAACTAGTGCTGCCTGGGGGTGCACTTTAATTTTGTTTGAATTGAAATATCAGGCCAACACAAGAAGAAAACCCTTCTTTTAAATATTATACACTAATTTATAAATTATTTATTTTACTGTCCTCCAACAGCAGCAATGCAACAAAGAGGGTCCTACAGAAGATAAATCTAACAGCAACAAGGGACATTTTTTGGTACTCAAGCATAAAGAAAAGCTCTTACAAGCTCTTGCTAAGATGGTATCTCAATCCCACAATAAACTCGATTCTTGTGCCTCTTATTGATTCTGTAATTGCGAGGCCATAGGTGACCTATTTCATATAGGGTGGACCTGCCCTTTTGCCAGTAATTTCTGGAATGAAATAGAACTGATCATTTTCAATAAGTTCAATCTTAATGTGAAACTAACCCTTTGGTCAGCTTTATTAGGTTATCCAATACTAGGCTATTTCAATCAGGTTACATATTGCTCTCATACATTCTTTCTGCAGCTTGCTAGATGATAGTGATAGTTACTGATCTTTCAATAAAAAATGACTTGACAAGATAGAGGACCTGTCCAAGAACAAAGTTTACCTTTGGTTTAGTTTATGGTGGTTTAGATAGGCCTAATCTAATGCTTGATACTTCTCGCAAGGGTCATAGAAGTGCCAGGATTACTTTTTTGGGTTTTGATAGAGAGGGGATGAGTTAGACCCTCCGAAAAGTTTTTATTGCTGTCTGTGTCCCCGTTGGGAAGATTAACCCCTCTTTTTGTCCCTGTGACCATTGTCACCAGGATTAAAAATGAGGGGCAATTCTAAATTGTGGAGTTGTGATGAGAGCAAGGGGTGTTGGGAAATCTTCCAGTGGAAAAAAATTCTCTAGTAACAAGTGTCTAGGATGGGAATTTCCCACATATTAGGGAGATTGCCTCACACTTCCGATTGCATTTTCAAGATAGAAAGTAAAGGGAATCCTCCCTAGCAGAACAAAGACAGTGAAAACAAAAAAAAAGGGAAAAAAAACCTGAGAGGGGTTTAATCCTTCCCCACTCTATCAAAAGTTAAATAAAAATAGTCTTTGCTTTACATGCCCTGAATTAATTTAACAATTGGGTGTAGCCTTTTTTCTGCCTTTCAAAGTCCTGAATACATTGAACGAAAACAACCAGCAAACCACTGACCAACAGAAAGTGCCCTGTCATTGAAGCTGAGCTAAAATAAAACACGTTTTCCTTCCCCCAAAATACTTAACTGTGTCCCAGAGTGGGGTTTGCCAGAATCCCCCACCTAATTTCATGTTTCGGTAGCCAAGGCAAAGCCAAAGCACCAAATCTGAGTAAAGTAGAGGCTCTGATTGGCTGTTCAGACACAGGAAGCCAATCAGAACCTCCATCTCACACAGATCCAGTTCTTTCATCACAGAAAGAATAGGAAGCGAGATGGAAGGTTGCTAGGCCTTCGGTGGACCATGTTATGGGATATAGATAAGTATCTTGGGAGGGGCTTTTTTATTGGCAGACTAAGGGATATGTAAATGTTGTATTTGTTATATTTCAACATTTCAAAAGATGACAAAATAAAGCCACCATGGTGCAGTCTGTTGATGTTTTTTTATATTCATATGGTTGTGTGGAAGACAGATTTGATCTACAGTACTATGTCAGCATTCCATACTATATTTTAATAAGAAAAAAAAGCAAATCAGGACTTTACGTTATTACATAATAACTAGATGCAAACAACAGAATCACTTTAAGAATAAAGATATATAGAAAACAAAAATAAATTCATGTTTCACGGGATTTAATTGGCAGGTTAAAATGGCTCAACACATTTAATTTTTTTTATATTTGTAGAAAATTAACCACTTAGTTTTATACTAGCATTAATTAATTTACATCCACTACTTAATAACATTTAGAGTTGCTTTGATAATTCACAAAAGTGGAATAATACAAATTCAAAAAGACTGTTCATGGTGTGGCAGACCAAAAAAAGAAAGCAATCAGTCAATTCTTTCATGCACACATAGCACTGAAGTGAACAGCTTACAGAGTCAAACTAAACAATAAAAGCTATTGCGTATATGGCTGTAAGAATATATTTATACTGCTACAGAATATAATCAGTAAGAAAAAAACAGAGCACAATGTTTCTATCCACAAACTTTAAAGGACCAGTAAACCTAAAACCCAAATAGACAAGAATAGTTTTGCAAGGCATAGCTGACTTCCTGTTGAATAATCATATTAAAGGACTTTGCATTTAACCTGTGCTCAGCCTAAAATAGACAGGAACATAAAAAAGTCACAGCAAATGTTTGTACCATGTGATACATTACCAGCTCTGCCAAATAAATAATTTACATAGACACATTTGTGAATGTTGTTACTAGCCTACACATGCAAAACAACCCATGTTCAGGTTTACTGGTCCTCCATCAGGTAACAGAAAGTGTTCTGTGCAGATAGCACGCAAGCAACTTTTTTTAAAATTTTTTTTAGAGCTATATGTTTTTCTTGCTAGAAGAGGGTGATGAAATGATGAAATTGTAACTTCACGGGAAAAAAGAGAAAATAGTGATAAAAAGTAACATTAGTAGAAAGATTTTCTTTTATAGAATTAAAGCAATGAGAAGGGTGTTTAATATTCCAACATACCATGGTATTTAATATGTACTGCCTGACCATTAATGTCCACACTCTTATCACATACAATACATCATTTTCGATCTCCTTTCAGGACTAAACACAAAAAATACAATTTTCTTTTAAATGACCCTGATTTAGAATGTTGACTTTGCATTTTTCTTTGCCATTTATTAAAAACCACCTATCACCCATTCATATTTAACCATACATAATTTGACATATATTCTCTGTAAATACAAAATGCCTAAGAGCTACTGAATACTACAAATTTGCACAACTGTTTTTAACATAATACAGTAGTTACAAGTTAAGAGATATCTGCATTTCAGATAAAATATTATTTGAATTTACTGGTAAATGGCCCTAAGCTATTAACTTGTACTTGGAACTGATCTAAATATGCCAGGACTAACTTATCAATAAAATCTTTGTGCCTGGGTTGTCTACCACCAATACTAGACTGAACATAAAAATATAAAAGTTTACATTGGAATTCATATAGCTTGGCAAAATTAGACATATCCATCAGTAAAATTAGAGAGGAAACATATTGCCTTCTATGTAGTTGTAAATTGTCCTTTATCAGATCTTAAGGTGTGGCTGAGATGAAAGAATGAAGTATATACCACACAAAAGCAATACACATAGAGACATTCTGTGCTCAAATAAACACTTGTGAAAGGGACACAAAGGAGGGATGCAGCTTCTCTAACAGATACCATCCAGTTGTCTTGAGTGTTTACAGTTAAAGGCTTGCGAGGTTTAACGTTAGCTATAAGAAAAAGAAAAACAGAAGCAGCTCTCAGAATAACTAGCAATCATTTTGCACATCACATACTGTATATACAATAAAATGAAAACTTCACTTGGAACAGAATGATGGTTTTGCCTGCATGGTTTCCATTATGTTGGACGTAGTTAACACTGGAGAACATCAACTGTATCTGCAAAGTTAAAGAATAGCAGTATTAGGCCCCTTTCACACGGCCACTTCGATCGGGTCCACCTGTCAGTTTTTCAGGCAGACCTGTTCGGACGCCCAATGCAAATCTATGGGCAGCCATGTGTAAACGGATGGGTGTCCGTTTATACCTGGTTAGCCCCGCCTCCGAGCGGGTCCGCAAAAACAGACGGATCAGAGATCCGTTTCACTGGACCGGATTGTGCCAGACCGGGGGTAATGTCTGTTTACATACGATTCCTCATAGGCTGACATGGGGTCTGGTAAATACAGCTTCTTCCTCCATTGCATGGTGGAGGAAAAAACTGGATGGACACGGATGTTACAGCGGTGACATACGCTTCGTACTGCTGTGATTAGAAGAGTATCCGTGCGCGGATCCTCTCCTGTTCAGCCCGTGTGAAAGGGGCCTTAAACTCTCAAACCTTTTTCAATAATGAATCCAGGCCATACAAATAGACATTGCCCAGCAAAGCATTGCTTTACATTTTTGCCCAAACACTTACAATCATTATGTTTCTGAACAGCTGCTTCCAAGTCTCTCAGCTCAGCTTCCCTGAACTTCCTGTCCAGTACAAGATCACAAAGGACAGATCAGACTCCAGCAACTGTTCATCTACTAGCTTGGAGAAGGGAGGGGAGGGGGCAGGGGAAGTAGCTTGGCTTGCTGTGTCTGTGTGTTTGTGAAGACACACAGAGCTTACTAGCACACACAAGGGTGGCTCCATAGCACTCTGGTTGACAAAGGAGCCACCTTAAAAAAGGATATCAGGACCAGCGCTCGGGGCACCAGCTGATTCTGCAGGAAACTAAAACTTTTAAACATCAAGAACCAGCATCTATTGTAAGTGATTTCATCAGCATTTGAAAAAGCTTAACATCCTTTTGACTTTAATATCACATTAAAGGCAAAACCATATTTTATTCTAGATTTGGATAGAAAAATCCCATCAACGTATTTGTCCCCATTAGGGAGAAACATTCAATTGTCCTGATCACCAATGTCACTGGGAATGAAAGTAAGGGTAAATGCAAACTTTGAAGTTTCAACCAGAACCGGAAAAATGTGCACATCTTCCAATGGTTCAACAGTGGACTTTGTTTCAATAAATGCGTTGGATGAAAGCCACCATATGCCAGATATGTATAATGGATGGCATGGGATTATAATGGGTCTTCTATGTATAGTTTTAACTAGGAGAGTTTATGTATGTTCAAAAAAAAAATCTCTTTTTTATATGCAGGAATAAAAACAAACTGAAGATATTTTTATCTATTGCTTGGTGATCAATATATGCATATCACAAATATCCATGTATGTCTCCTATTATTTATAATAAAGGGAAATCTCCCTAATGAGACAAAAATTGGTTTCAATCTATCCCTATTCTATATGAAATGAAAAAAAAGGTGGATTTACATATACCTATAGTTTCATTTATAGAAAAGAACTATCAAGTCAACTTCAGTAGCTAGAGTATATATATCATAAAATGTACAATTTCTTTATCAAAATATCTACAGTCCTTGTAATAGTGGAGCTGATGTGTCCATGACAACCAGAGACAATTCCGCCTACAGTGCTATCACTTGAGTAAACTGAAGACTAATCGTGGTTTACTGCATCTTAGACATAATCACTTCCCTGACTTCAAATAAGCAAGACAACTTTAAAATGAAAAATCCTGATATGAACTATCAAACCACAGAGCACAAAAGTAAAGTAGGAAAAAAAAAAGGAAAAAAATATGGAAGCATTGCCACCATCTGTTTTAAAGCAGATTTCATTTGATGTGTTAAAATATGAGCTTTAGGCAATATATAGATATGTCAAATCTTTCAAAATCTGTCTTTTGTAGTGATGTCTAATACTATTATCAGCTATGCTATCTATCAGCACATTTCTCAAATGAATCCACTAAACTGTGCACTGCCTTACTTGGGTATTGTTGGTGACCCAGAACGGTGAAAATGTACATTCTGCCACTTTCCATCACGACGATGCCACACTCTGGTCTCTTCAGACTGCATGGTCTTTGGCAATCCTGTGGAATCCATGTACTGTGTCAGGCGGATATAGGCTATACAGGCAGCATCTTCCCCAATCAAATGGACATGGGGGTTAAGTATGATCGTATGGATAGGCTTGTTGCTCTTGGATAAAGCTAAGAGTAAAAAAAAAACAAAAAAAAAACATAATGAAAAATAGAAAAGCACACACGGCTCAAAGACCTATTTAATTGTTTACAACAGAAGATTCATATGCTCGGTTACAAAAGGTTTTTGATGCTCAGTGTCTACATGCTCAGCCATGACTGTTGAGCTATGGAGGGAGAATGTTGAAGGCCACCTATTTATTCTGTGCGTGATACCCAAGTGTCTATCTAGGTGTTATCATGATAAGTGTTTCCATGCATTCAGAGCTGGCAAAGCTTAATGGAAACTCGATTTTTGCAGCTGCAGAATGCAAGGTGTTATATTGCTTTTTTATTCAAATTTTATAAGTCTATAGACATTCCTACAACCATCCTTCTCAGGCTTATATGCTATAATAATAGCAAAGAATAGAACAACCCCAATTTACGTTTTGCATTTGCACAACGTATTTATAAAAGAACATAAAATATGGACATATGAACAATAGTGGCTTGTTTTTTTCCATATAGGGTGAAATACCTTCTGCTTTATCCCTTCCTGATGAAACAAATCCACCTGAGCTCTAATAATAATAATAACAAAGTGCTAAAACAAACATTAATTGATAAAGAAAGAAGAATCACCAATTACTTAAACAAATCAACAAATTAAAATTTCAGAATAGTTACAATAAACAAAGAGAATACATTATGCTTAAAGTGCATGCTCTACGTCCTACAGATCTTGTTTGGGGCTCACGTGAGAGAGAGAGAAAAAGAGGAGGGGGAGAGAAAAAGAGGAGCTCCTACACACCCTTTGCTCTGGTTTCCTCATAACCCCCTTAAGGGTCCTTCATACAATAGATGACCCAACTTACTATTAGTTTACAGTTGGACTTTTGATCCCTCACTGTAATGCATATTTACTCTGGGGCAGATATAATCTCAATTAAAAAAATGTAGGGTGCCATGTGTGAAGTCTTATTTGAGTAATCCTGTTCTACTGGTTTTAAGGTTACAATCAGTAGTGACAACAGATGGCCCATCGGTAAACAAAAGAGCTTCACTGCCATATCAGACAACTATCCAGATATATTATATCACTGTTTCATAAGTGCGCGGATATATGAAAATATTGCGCCCAGACTCACAACATATGCCATTTTCTGCCTAAATGGCGCACTACCATCAATTTTCCAGAGAAAACCTCAATGGTGCTTGAATATACCAACAATACCTACAATTTAGGGAAGATTTCAATGAGCTTAGTGTCTAAACACTAATTCGCGTAGTGAATGACAGTAGTTACTAAGTTAATTCATTTTTCATTTTTATTTCCCATTATTTATATTTTTCTCCACATTTATATGACCATTACAAAACCAACAAACACTGCCAGGAGTTCTTTAGCAGCTGCAGCACTTTGTTTTAAACTAGGGATGTCCAGATACCAGTTCAGATACCAGTGCAGATACTCTGCATTTTCACGAGAACTACCAGGGTTGCAGCGGTTGCAGCTGGGACCTGGCTCTGGCACTCCATCACTGTCCTGCAATCATTAGTCGATATTGCTTTAGAAAAACTGTCACATGACAACAAAAATGAATCAGTACTTGTATCTGTGAGTACTTGGACAAGTATCAGTACTTGTACTTGGAAAACTGGTATCGGTGTATCACTTATATATATTTATTTAAAAAAAAACAATACATTAAAATGGGGATGTACGAATCCCAGGAGCTCCGTATGCACCTTAAAAATTACAGCTGCCTCCTAAATTTTGAATTTTTCCTCTATTCTGGTCCTGGAGTTGGAAAAGTATCCGTACATGTACTTGTACTTGTCCCGAGTACGGTACTTGGTATCTGAAGAACCCTATTTTAAACCATATGAATAAAAGGTAACCCAATATATATACCCTACCATTTTCAAAGTAAAACCGATGGAAATCCATTCCTTCTACAAGGTTTCCTAGAGCTTCAGGCTCAAATGAAGTGAGGCCAGGGTCACAGATCTTCCTGTAATTGAATTAACAAGTTATTGAACATATTTCAAACACATTGAAACTTGTTTTTAAAAACACAATTGAAAAGCATTATTACATAGTAGTTGAGGTTGAATAAAGACAAGGGTCCATCCAGTTCAACCTTATCTAGCCCTCATTCACACGAGTAACGGCCGGCCCGCACAGATCCGTGCTGCGTGCACGGCCGTATTGGGCCACTCCTGGGAAGGACAAAGGCTGCGTGTGATTTGTACGCAGCAGCCTGTCCTTCTCTATGGGAGTATGCGGTCATGCGTCGCCCTGTGCTTACCCAAACTGCACGTCCGTGCGGGTGTCCGTTCACGGTACGATGACAGGATGTATCCTGTCTGCGCCCGTGCAGGAACTCCCGCACGGACGTGCAGTTCGGATCTGTACGGGCAGGCCGTTGACTGAGGGCTTAAACTTAACTGTTGCCTTTCTTTCAACCACAAAGAGGTAGCAAAGTAATATCCTACAAATTAAAGGGCCAGTCCATGCAAAAAAGAGGTATTTAATGTTTTTCTTTTGAAGATGATTTTTTAAAGCTCATTTTCAATGAGTATTTAATTATGTTATACAGAAACAAAAAAAGCCTCTCAAATTACAATACTGACATACATTGTTGTTTGTTCTTGTATACAATAGGTAATAAAATGGTACTATAGAGAAACAACACTCATTACTCTACTCATTACTATCAGTTCTACTTTGGACTTGATGGACATATGTCTTTATTCAACCTCAAATACTATGTAACTACTATGTAACACACCAGAAAAAGGGAAATGATGGTACAGGGAATATGCATACTATGATCCAAGTCAATATGCACGCTCAGGTTGCACCAGGGTCTGATAAAATAGGATTTTTGCTGGAGTACAGTACAGGACACAGGCTTTTTTTAAATATAGAGACTGGGTTATATGCAGATAACTTCGGGTGATTGGACTCTGGCAAAGGGAATCAGAGCTGTGGAAACAACCCCTATATAATCCCTCACACTGCAAGCAATCCAGAGTTTTTTGCAAGCAATAAGTGACATGAGAGAGCATGCACAGCTCATTGTATATTGTCATGTTTATGATCAGGAAAGCTGCCTGGCAACAGCTTGCACCACCGATGCAACCACATAAAACAGTGGAATGGTGGAAAAAAAGAACTCCAAGGAAAAAGAGCAGCCACAGAATGCCTATAAGTATTTTATAATTTACCATTGTCTTTTACTGTGTTAAGAATGAGACTGATCTGACTTTAGCAAGTGAATTCTGATTGGTTGCAGTAGGTTACTGCATTTGGAAATAGTACTTAAGAATTAACCCAAATGTCCCTGGAAGGTTTTTGACATGAAGTCACTTACGTATAGGCCTCAAAATCTCCATTATTAATAGCTTCAATTAGTTGTTCTGTAACTTTGATGATTTCCTGCTTGCGGGCTGAAAAATAATAAGGTTTCTTAGTTAATTAGTACAGATAAGGAACATTAGAACCATACGGATTTACACAGTGTTAACTTTAAAGTCTACAAACAATTCACATTTAGATATAATCATATCATGCATCTCTAAAGTGACTATTCAGAAAACCAGTTGTTGTGTATGGAGCACTAACAGCGCCTAAACAAGTGCAATGAAAATAGTGTTGGCTGTTAGCTAATAAAAATCGCTTTCAAAAAATGAAAGTGATTTTCATATTCAACAACGCTATGATCTATTTCTAAGATAACCCGTGATTGTAGCTACTGCCTTGTCCTGATTCTTATAAGAGCAGAGATGAGATTAAACATACAGTATGTAACACACATAGGGTCATTTGTTTAACAACACAAAGAAAGGTAACTCAATGAAACCAATCAGAAATGAGCTTCCAGTAATCTACCTTCGGTACCCTAAATCCGGTTACTAAGAAATACAAAACTTTGCTATTCCAATTTGCTCTTTGCATTACCATACTGAACAGACCTGCATATGACCATCAGCCTTTATCATTGAGACCGTGCAGAGAGCAATGGTGAAGTGCAAATTGCAATAATCTAATAAACCAATCAGGTCTTTTAAAGCCATATGGCAAAATTCATCTGAATTCTTTCTGGCTGCTATGGGTTTGAGTACGCTTAACATTGCTCCCTCTTGCACTGCCTCACTAAATAAGCTCATATATATGCAGAGATCCTTACAAAATCTTCAAATCCACTTCTAAACTTCTCCTGAAATGCTGCCACCCACAGAAACAATATGATACATGCAGTTCTGAGTGCCTGAGAGGAAAACCATCTAATACAGTGGACGAAAATCAACACGATATTGACAAAAACTCCAATATTCATACATCTTATATAAAAAAATGTGTAAAAATATTTCAGTTGATTTTTCTCCTGAATATATGTCACAGACAGCAGTTAAATTATATTCTAACTGTCATGCAGTTATTGCCAATGTCGAAGAAATGAACCGGGAATATGAAATTCAGAGTAGGTAGATGTACAGGGTATGAAAATGACAGAATAGGTCCACGCAGTGAGATTACCATCTCTCCTCTTATCTCCCAAATGCATTTGTCTCTTTTGCCACTAATTTGTGATTATCCTGCCTTGGAAACTTTCTACTATTCACAAGGGAAATATTATGTGCCTAACCAGTTAAGCATATAGGATATCCCAGAGTCCTTTCCTGCTAGGTCGATGCCCACCTGCATAGCTTCCAGGACCTGCTGTCACTTTGACAGCTAAGGCCGTGGCCTGGATATCAGTGCTGCAATGGCCAGTTATGTCAGCTGATCAAAAAAACTGCTGTATTTTGACAGTGCTTGTTAAAATGTAAACGAACCCTGATACATGTAGGCTGATTTACAAAATATGTTGAGAATCTTCACATAATAAATTGTGTGAACATTCACTTTGATTATCCAATAATGTAAAAAGGTAATTCCTGTTCACTTTGAATACTCAACTGTGAAATTGGTAAACAGCAATTTCATTTTTGCATAATAGCATAGTGCTTCCTATATAACATTGAACTTCTCCCCACCAGTCCAGGGCCTTATTATCCTGATATTCCTTGTTACTACTCCCCATAAGGGCCCTCAACTCCTTTTTCTTGATTAACTGGGCCTTATCCTATCTGTAATAAAAAAAAGTAGTAATGTTCTTCTGTTCATTTCCTACAATCGTGCTCTCTTATTATTGTAATGTTTTACAGATGTTAATTTTTGTTGTACTGTTAAACTTTTTCCTTTAAATAAATATATCTATATAAAGATATATATAGCACATTATAGTATAATGTTGTACTATTGCTGGCATTTGTTTCATTCCTATATAGATGCTGGTATTCTGCATTTCGCCGTATAATCATTATACAGCGCACTGCAGAATGCCACCAGCTATAGAGGACTACAAATCCCAGCAATAGTACATTATAGTATAATGTACTATTGCTACATTCCTCTATAGCTGCTGGTATTCTGCACTGCGCCGCTGTATAATGTACTATATTGCACACCACACTCTTTTTTTTACTTCCACCGCGCCAAGCTTGCTCCCGTGATGGACTACAATCTCAATAGAAACTAGTAGTCCATCACTGAACCCTTTTTTTTTTTTTATTATCCGATTAGTCGATTAATCGAACTTAATAATCGGCTAACTAATCGATTATGAAAATAATCGTTAGCTGCAGCCCTACTATATATAGATATATATAGATGAATGCGTATTTATGTGTATGCATATTTGCTGCATTTTCATTCATTGTGGTAATACATAGGTTAATGCAATAAATAGGTGTAATAGAGCCCTTTAGCTCTTTAACTACTAATTAAGAATATGCACATAGTTTAATTGTCCATAGTCTTGTCATAGGTGCATCTGAGGGGCATAAAGTTAACCAGGATTTATGAAAAACAAGCATAATTTTTGGGTGGAATAATCATCTATTCTGGTTCATTTTCTTTAGACATAGGTGAAAACATTGTTTATGCTTGCGGCTTGCTAGTTTTTAAAACATCATACAAACCACATTCAAGACAAGTTCACCCACATCGACACTAAAGAGTATTTCAGAAGATTTCTTCAATCAAGTCAGTAGCATGGTATTCTTGCAAAACTCCAGACAGGCATTATGACCTGATTGTTCTAACAGAGCAGCAGGGGTAAACATATTTTCACTTCCTAATTACTCCCACTCAGAGCATTACATTACACACATATTTCATATCTTTACCTTAATCTCTACAAAGATAACAATGTGTAACACTCTTTGGCCTGTTGCATTGTTACAATATGGGGTATATGTAATCATGGACCCCAAAGTGCAGCTTGGGTCTCCCTCTCCTTAACTTACAATGCACAGATGAAAGGTTGCCCTGAGAAGGCTCAGATTCATTCGAGTGACTCTTTGAGTTTGTGTTTTCTGTGCACTTTGCTGCTGAATTGATGGAAAGAAACACAACATATGAACAAATGAAAATGAAGATGTACAGAGAAACCAGAATCTTCAGCAAGTACTGGCAGCAGGTGCGGCCACTGGGGCACTCTAAGGATGGCGACCAGCAAGATGATGAAGAGGAAGGAACAGTAGACAAAGAAGAGGAGGAGCAGCAGCGGGAATATTGATGAGCTGAAAAGAAGCTCTTCCTGCTACCCTCCACTGTGTAGGCTGTACTTTAGTCATGCAAGAATGAAAAAGAAAAAGAACAAATGATATGAAAGACAAAACAAAGGTATCGAACAAGAACATGACAAGAAAAAATCAAAATGAATAGACACAAAGATTAACAAAGCTTCTGTTCAGATGTCAGTGCTAATCCCATACTATATTATTAACAAGACAAAATGATGGAATGTTTCCTGCAATCAGATTGAACAAAGTGCCTGTACCTAACAACTCCACAAAGGCAAGAAAGTATTTATTAGAATGTGAGATTAGCGAGTTATGGACGCTGGGCATAATAGACACACACATAAAAAATTAATGAAAGTACACATTGCATGCACAGGACACCCTATCCTTCAGACCCACTGCCACCTCCCACATTTGCTGGCTGTCAAGATGACAGCTGAGACTTGCTGTGTAAATATAGCAGCTATTACAACTATTGCTGTCAGAAAATGGACCATCTGTCACAGTTTTTCTAAGCTCTGTTCACTCTCATTAGTTTTGTATCCTATTTTTGTGATCTACATTGTCCAATGGCCAATGTGTTCACAGAGCAGTGCTTGTGCACACAATCGATGGAAAAAAGTCCTCCTGCCCTGTCCATCCGTTTACATAAAATAGGTGGACGGCAAGTTGCTAAAGTATATGTAAGCCCTAACACTAAACTTCGTTATTTGATCCCTTTTAGTCTGTTAAATGTGCCATTGAGCATTTTGATATTTCAGTTCAAGTGCAAAAAATAAACATGTTGATCCTGCCATAAATTATGTGAGCTACTTACTTCCTGTGTCATCTGCTTGTGCTGCACTGTTACCTGTAGACATTGTATCTAGCTCTCTCTGCAGCCTACAGATCATCCCCTATGTTATGGAGAAGAGGAGAGGGGTAACTATAGTCCTAACACACTTGTTGCCGCAGGGTGACAACAATGCCTCTCCATAGACAAAGTATAGCACCCTAGGGCACCAATTACTAACTGAACACACAGGAATAAAACCTGAAAAAAAAAATGCAGCTACCAAATCTAAGGACTAGTTAGCTGCACTATATTACATTTTCGTCCTTAAGTTTAGATGTGCTTTAACCCTTTCACTGCCACCAATGTATGCCATACATTGGCAGCAGTGTGACTGTCGGCATTACACCAAAAGTGATTCAGGCCACTTCCATGGGCCGGTAAATGAGTGCTCTGTCCGATACACCTGCCTAGCTTACCGGGCTCCGCTGCCCCTCCATGCAAGCCCAGGACCAGTTAGAGGGGAGAGAGACCAGCGAACATTCATTCGCTGATCTCCTCCCTGCTAAATGAACCCGGAAACGATGATGATTCAATCTCTTCCGGTTTATGAGCTGGCATTCACTGGCCACTCCCTGCCAAATGAAGATGGAAGCGATGATGATTACATCACTTCTGGTTTTTGAGCGGTCATTCCCTGGCTAGAGAGGTTGGGGAAGAAGTATCTCAAACACAATCTGTGCTTGATTAGCTTCAGTGGTCTAAAAGACGCATACTGTCTCTATAAATCATGTGTGGTAAAACATTTTTTTTGCAAAAATGGCTCTGGCAGTGAAAGGGTTAAAAAATACACAATACTTTTTCATTAGTTTTGTAATATGTTTAGAATTTAAAATAGCCTTTTTTGATGTTTGTTAAATATATTTTTTGACAGCTAAACATAAAATAGTGCAATTAAATATTTAATATTTCCCTTATTTTAACTAAAAGGTCGAGAGGGTGACTTTAGGTCCAATGCAGTCCCAACTCAGGGACAAAGCAAATTGCATTATGGATTCAGCTCATATAAATATGATGCCTTGGCATGCACTTAAAAAATTGCATTTCTGAGCTGCAGCGCAGAATAATAACATAGAAGTCAAATAAATAATAGAAAAATGCACTGCAATGTTGGAGCAACCTGCATTGAAGCACACATTACAATGCATACCAGTACATGCTAGTGAATGCTGTGGTGTAAGGGAGCCCTCTTTGCTGATCTAAATAAAAAAGATCTTATAAAAGGTTATACACAGCCGAATTAATCATCCGTGTGGAGAAACACATCCCCTTTTTTGCTCTACGGAAGAGACAGGAGGTCTGTTTCTTTAGTCTGCCAGAATGGTCAACAAGTACATAGCTAAAGCTATACTCGCTTATCCGACCTGCATATACTAAACCATGTAGGCACCTACTTATTAAATACAAGTTATAAAAATAATAATTTAAAAGATTGCATTTAAAATAAAAGTAATACAATTGACCAAATCCCTATATTTGCATTTTAGGTAAAATTTCTGTTTTTAAGAACTGTTGTAAAAATTGTAAAAGCTAGGCTGTGAAATGCGGTTTTCATATATACTATATATTTACTTTGGATTTGAACTTATTTAACTTTAGCTTACATTACTTTAATTTGATTACTTTATTTGACTACGTTATCTTCCTATACCCATCTATGACATAGTAAGTACAATGAAAGAGCACCTAAAGGTTTTAAGTAGTAGTAGTGTAAACTGCTATCATTTCTACCTTGACACATTTTCACAAAATACTTAAAAATTAGATGGCTTTGTAAGATTGTCATATTAAAAGGGACAAGATCAGTTGTCTTACCATGGGTTATATGCAGCTAACTTCAGGTGACTGGACACTGACAAAGAGAAAAAGTTGCAGGGACTATCCCCCTTTATAACCCTTCCCACTACAAGCAAGCCTCAGTTTTGAAGCAATCAATAGTTAGATTGAGGAACAGATGGGAAGGACCTGTGTCCTGTACTCCAAGAAAAAGCATTTCACAGGTAAGTCACATATCCTATTTCTTAAAACTGATGCTGAAGCCACTAACAGATTCGATGGAGTGATAGGCTTGAATGATTATTTGTTTAATCCACCTAGCAAGGTGGAGAAAGAGACCGGGAGCCTCCTACAGGCGCTCTCAGGGAGAACAAATTGTGATTCCAATTCTGGAAAGGAAGTTAGCAGAGAGGTAGACTTTCACGTCATGTACAACGTCAAAACTGTGGAGAGACATTTCCTTGGGATGATTCAGAGTAAAACACAAGTAGGAAAGGACAATGTCCTGGTTAAGGAAGTGTTAGATCATGGCCCAATTTTGTCCTTATGTAACATATAGCACCCTGCAGCTAACTCAACACATTGCGCCACCTGCCAAGATAACCACCTAACGCAGGATCCAGTACCCAAAGCAACATTGCAGGCCAGCTGTGAATTTTCTTCCAGGTAGGATCCAGATACAGTCCCCCAAAGCTGAGCTGAGATTTCAATCAATCTGGAAAGGAGCTGCAGTGGTTATGGTGCAGCTAGAGCTAATGGGAGAATCTTGACAAAAAAACAAAAGCAAAAAGAAAAGAGGCTATTTCTCAGTAGACAAAATATTTATTACCTAAGGACGCTATAAAAAAAAATTGAGATTTTCTAGGAGTGAGGGATGATATTGGGGTTGTCCCTGCAGCTTTTTCTTTTTTGACAGTGTCTAGTCACCTAAAGGTAGCTGCATATAAACCATGGATAAGAATACTGATCCTTTGTCATGAACTGTACAATTAAGAAAATGTATCTCTACACTTTATAGTGCAGAGTACATACATGCTGAATATAAACAAAGTAATGTACTGTCTGAGCTTTCAAAGCACTGGAAAATAATAGACAATGGTAAGAATTTATATTTTCAATGTTGCTTGATGTTCCCAGTCAGAGGCATATCTGATATCATAGATATCATGGGGGTGATTTACTAACCTAAACACACGCACGCACCAGGTGCGTGTGATTTTCACACAGCAAAACGTATTTAGCAACCAAAAAGTCTCTAAAAGCATATTTCCACTAATGCCATATATGGAAAAATCATGCACATGATGCATACATAATGCTGCTTCACAGTTTAGACAAAAATGGTTAGCTCATGCATTTACATTCCTGCATTCATCAACGCAAGCAACACAACATAGAGCTAATTTACACAACATCACCTTGCAATTCATGCTTGGCTTTGGACAACACATCTGCTGGGTGTGTACACACTACAAAGGTGTTTAGATTCCACCCATAGATCATGCTGGGAGGGAACACACTACTGAGGTGTATACATGTTCATGGTGTGTTTATAAGGTTAGTAAATCAACCCCCATATGTTGTAACTGTGTGTGAACACACTAATAGCCTGAGACCAGAACTTCGGTCTGAAATTAGTTTTCAGACTGACCCACAGCAAAGCTCCATGGGTTATATGCAGCTAACTTCAGGTGACTGGACACTGACAAAGAGAAAAAGTTGCAGGGACTATCCCCCTTTATAACCCTTCCCACTACAAGCAAGCCTCAGTTTTGAAGCAATCAATAGTTAGATTGAGGAACAGATGGGAAGGACCTGTGTCCTGTACTCCAAGAAAAAGCATTTCACAGGTAAGTCACATATCCTATTTCTTAAAACTGATGCTGAAGCCACTAACAGATTCGATGGAGTGATAGGCTTGAATGATTATTTGTTTAATCCACCTAGCAAGGTGGAGAAAGAGACCGGGAGCCTCCTACAGGCGCTCTCAGGGAGAACAAATTGTGATTCCAATTCTGGAAAGGAAGTTAGCAGAGAGGTAGACTTTCACGTCATGTACAACGTCAAAACTGTGGAGAGACATTTCCTTGGGATGATTCAGAGTAAAACACAAGTAGGAAAGGACAATGTCCTGGTTAAGGAAGTGTTAGATCATGGCCCAATTTTGTCCTTATGTAACATATAGCACCCTGCAGCTAACTCAACACATTGCGCCACCTGCCAAGATAACCACCTAACGCAGGATCCAGTACCCAAAGCAACATTGCAGGCCAGCTGTGAATTTTCTTCCAGGTAGGATCCAGATACAGTCCCCCAAAGCTGAGCTGAGATTTCAATCAATCTGGAAAGGAGCTGCAGTGGTTATGGTGCAGCTAGAGCTAATGGGAGAATCTTGACAAAAAAACAAAAGCAAAAAGAAAAGAGGCTATTTCTCAGTAGACAAAATATTTATTACCTAAGGACGCTATAAAAAAAAATTGAGATTTTCTAGGAGTGAGGGATGATATTGGGGTTGTCCCTGCAGCTTTTTCTTTTTTGACAGTGTCTAGTCACCTAAAGGTAGCTGCATATAAACCATGGATAAGAATACTGATCCTTTGTCATGAACTGTACAATTAAGAAAATGTATCTCTACACTTTATAGTGCAGAGTACATACATGCTGAATATAAACAAAGTAATGTACTGTCTGAGCTTTCAAAGCACTGGAAAATAATAGACAATGGTAAGAATTTATATTTTCAATGTTGCTTGATGTTCCCAGTCAGAGGCATATCTGATATCATAGATATCATGGGGGTGATTTACTAACCTAAACACACGCACGCACCAGGTGCGTGTGATTTTCACACAGCAAAACGTATTTAGCAACCAAAAAGTCTCTAAAAGCATATTTCCACTAATGCCATATATGGAAAAATCATGCACATGATGCATACATAATGCTGCTTCACAGTTTAGACAAAAATGGTTAGCTCATGCATTTACATTCCTGCATTCATCAACGCAAGCAACACAACATAGAGCTAATTTACACAACATCACCTTGCAATTCATGCTTGGCTTTGGACAACACATCTGCTGGGTGTGTACACACTACAAAGGTGTTTAGATTCCACCCATAGATCATGCTGGGAGGGAACACACTACTGAGGTGTATACATGTTCATGGTGTGTTTATAAGGTTAGTAAATCAACCCCCATATGTTGTAACTGTGTGTGAACACACTAATAGCCTGAGACCAGAACTTCGGTCTGAAATTAGTTTTCAGACTGACCCACAGCAAAGCTCTTTGTTTTTGTCACAAAAATAAAAACAAAACTTATTGTAAAATATTTATGACACAGTCGATAAACGACTAGAAACCTATTTTCTGATTTCTTCATGTTTCCTAAACCCCCGTAGAATGCCAGTGGAGAAAATTAACAGCTGTCAGAGGCTTGCATGCTGAATTCCTCCTATTCTTGGTAATACTGATTTGTTGAACAATTCTGATATACCCACAAAACAGTCACCAGTGCATAGGGAATTATTTGTACTCCATATAATTGTTAAAATGATCTATTGCATTATATTCTGAATATTTTTTCTATATAAAAACAATTAACTGGCTTTGGTTTATTTTGCTTCCAACTAAACTACATTATCAGTAAACTGTTTCTTTTAATTCTAATGTGTTTTGCTATATGATAAATCAAATGGTATAATGTTTATGATTTTTTAAATCAAAAACCTTTAGGACACAGTATCGAAAAAAGTAAAACAAATAGAAATATAAAACTTTACTAAAGAGAAGCAAAGCCTATCATATGGAATACATAGCTGGAAAAAGGCACAGGCATCTGAACAGAAGTTTACATACAATTAGCAATGCCACTCTGTGAACCTATATTTTGTGCTTAGTATAACATAAATGTAATACTGCCATCACCAATAAAATGTAAGTTTGCTGAGCTGAAGTAGTCTAAAAGTAAAAAAAATCAAGCTAGAAATGTGTACATAAAAATAACTAGCAGTTAGTTTAAACATGAGGGCCCTTCCTACAACATTGATCTATAGTACATTAGCACCAGCAGTGCTTGTAAGCTATTACAACTCCAGTGCATATACAACATCATAAAATCCAAGGCAGGCCTTAAGAAATTTTGCATATTTATAGAAACCGCTAGTAAATTAGTAAGTGAAATAGAACTCTCATAATGACTGAGATACTGATTCATTCAGACACTCTTCTTAGTTATTCCTTAAGAAATGCATTGTTAAGGAAGCAAATAAAGGTTTGAAAATGTATTTCCTGCTACAATATTAAAAGAAAGAATAGGATACCTGTAACAACCTTTGCAATGCATTTCTGACTTCTGGTTACCTTTTCTATAAAATAGGCCTCTTTCTGCAGTGTAAAGTTGCTTTTATATGTTCTATTTATAGCTTACCTTTCACATCTTCATCTTCAATAGTGGTATTTGAGCTTTCTGTTGACTCCTGCAGAGAAGCAAACAAGCAATGAGGACAAGAGAACTCAGTGAAGTAGAAACCGTCTTACTTCTAGGCCTGATGCTACAGAAACCAGACAGTGACACAGAGTTTCTAGGAACTGCCAAATGTCATGGCTATGCCGGGAGGCTAACAGACAACCTAGCAGAATTCTAGATTTACCATTACATTTCTAGACTATAGAACTAAGATGCCTAAAGCCATGAGACAAACAATCCCTGATTCAGCTGGTTATGGTCAAAAAAAAACAACAGTTGTATGTGTATAGGCAGCCTGGGTCCTCAGAAAACACTAAGATTATCTGATCTCGAAGGCAGAAATTATCAGTGAATTTGGATTTTCCCAGCCTATTGTTGTTTTCTCCAAAATAATCTGGTGCCAGATTTGTTCTCCTACTCTCCCCTTTGCCTTCATCACATTCACAAACAACATAGATGTTCAGGCAATCCAAGTGTGGAAAGTGGAAAGAACTTTTGAAAACCAAAAAAATATTCAGGTGGTTATGACTTTCATAGTTTCATAGTCCTAGCAACAATTAGCTCACTAGTGAAGCAACATTCAAACGGGCAGTCTGGATTTGAACATTTAGCTCCAACCACATTTACCTGTAATATTGCTAAAGGAATGGAGGCAGCTTGATAATGTAGCCCAATATCACAAACACAATTAAATTAAACACCAGTTAAATTTAACACCAACTGACACAGGTCGACAAAACCACAAAACAATCACATATGTGCATCTGTTTTGACCACAGATAAACGATTTAACTGAAGCTAACGAAGATGGCACATTCATTGGAAAAAAAGAGATTCAAATTGTTTCAATCATTCTTTACTGTATTTTGTTTTTTTATGAGGAAGGTTTGCTACAGGTAAGAGCTAGAGTACAAAGTGCTTAAAGCAGCTGGATAAGAATCATGTTTGTTTTGATTAAATTAGTTATTTAGCAATAAGGCAATGAACCACATATAAAAATGGATTCTGCCTGGGGTTCCAGCACAAGGGCTAGCCTAGTTGATACATATATTAACCACTGAAATAATATATACTGTACAAGTACATGATTTCAGGGAGCCATATAGAGATGGATAAACGTACTAGGTTAACTTATGTCATTTCTGTGTTGCAGTAATCTGGTATTAGACCCTAAAATTAACTCTGCTTTCTAAACTAAAGGCACTCCCTCTCTAAGAGTTCATGTTTCCATACACACCTAACTGACAATGCAGACACAAGTTTTTATATATTTGAACTCAAATTAACACTGCCTTAAGCAACTTCATCTTGGCAGGGTTTTGCCTAGCTATGTTCCCTCTCCACTACAAATTTACTGGAAACCTGCAATACAACTTTGACCAATACAAGATTTGAACACTGAGTGCCCTAACAAAGGGTCGACGATCTAGAAGCATTGTATGTTAAAGGAGAAGTATTGGGAGAGTAAAATGTGCAGTTGTCACTGCAATTGTCACACACCAGCTTTATAGATCGAGAGCTAAGCAATCATGTAACCTCTGATTGGTCAACTCAAGGTGAGGGGGAGCACAGCCTGTCTAGTCTTTCTATAGGGACAGTCATAGTTTGCTGTTACTTAAATTGAGAAAGAAGCTCACAAAGGCCAGCTACACATATACATCTAAAAGGTAAGAAGTATTGTTTGAAAAATTGCTTTTACATACTGTATGTTGTGTGAATAGGAACACATAACAAACATATAAAGGGCTTTTCTTAATTTTCACTGCAAAACTGGGAATATGCTTTAAGGGATAAGTGCACTGTAAAACGAAGTGCACTTATCGTTTTACCAATCCCCCTGTCCTCACAGATCCACCTTTCCCCTACACAGATCTATACCATGATCTGAGGTCCATGGCCTCAAGGGATTGTTTACATCCCGTGCTGCAAGTCCTCTCTTTCTTAGGAGCACCTACACAGTAGAGCCCCATAGACCTCTATGGGGCTGTTCCAGTTCTAACCCCCGACCAGGAAACGAGGCAAGAAAGAGTTGCAATATGGGATGTAAAGAATCCCTGGAGGCTGTGGGTGCCACATCTTGGTAAATATGCATCTGGGGAGGGTGGGACCTGTTTGGTAAGTGCACTTATTCTTTAAAATATTACAACTAAAAATCAAAAACTCGCTGCGCCCATCCCACTTGAAGGGAGTAGTTAGTGGATGCAACTTTGGAAGCCATTACAGCCTTGAGTCTGTGTGGATGGGTCCCTAACAGGTTCTCTTCATCTGAATTTTTTTCTGATTCCTTTATTTGCAAAACGACTTCAGCTCTGTCAGGTTGCATCGAGTGAACAGTCAGTTCAGCCACAAATTATTTATTGGATCGAGAGTTGGACTTGGCAATTATAGAACATTAACTTGTTGTTTCTAAGCCATCCTTGTGTAATTTTGGTTGGGAACACTGCCTTCTTACAGACTGCATCAGTTTTTCGTCCAGGATATCACGTTTATTTGCTGCACTCATTTTACCCTAACCAATCTTCAATGGCCTACTTCAGAGTTTTTTCATAGAAAAATGCTGCCACCTTCATGCTTAACGTTGAGGATGGTGTGTTTATGATGATTTGCAGTGTTTGGCCCATGTTAAACCAAATATTTTGATCTGATGAACAAAAAGCTAAATTTTGGTTTCCACAGACTAGAATACCTTCCCACCTGACTTGAGTCTCCTAGATGCCTTCTGGCAAACGTCATTTGAGTTTTTGCCAACATTGACTTTTGTTTAACCACTCCCCTATAAAGCTGCAGCTGGTAAAGCATCTAGGAAACAGTTGCTGTAAGTATAGTCTCTTTAATCTCAGGCACTAACAGTTGTAACTCTTTTCATGGGCCTCTTGTTGACCACCATGCTAATGTCCTTGGCCACTCACATTTGGTAGACTTGCCTGGAGTATTCGATTGCCTCCATTGGGTAGGTTAAGCCACAATAGTGGCTTACTTGAAGTATGATCTTGTAGATACATAACACTATGACTACATGGAGGTCATTTCAATACCACTATGTATGTGACTTTAAATAAGAATTGGCTGTTCATAAAAAAACACCAGGCCTGACAGAATTTTCAAAACCCATGATAGATAAGAAAGCTCACTTATGTGTATTTCAGCTGTGTATATATTGTTTTCTGGAGTTCAAATTATAGGTATGTGAGTTATTTGAAAAGAAAAAAAAACTGCTGAAATCTCGAATTTATATCAGCCAGGTTTTCATTTCTTTCAATAGAATCATACAATCACACACCATAAGGTGGGTTCAGATAACAGCAGCACAAAATAACGATAGAGTTAGTAGCAGCAAGAGTGTAACAGTATTTCACATGATCATATGAGAGTGCACAATTTTCATAATGTAAACCTACTGTTTTGGCACTCTGCCTTTATCAAACTTTTTCTGACTGTTTTACTGTTGACCACATCTTATTACAGAAGCATAGTTGACAACAAAGACAACTGTTTTGATGCCTTAAAGAACACCTTTACTTTGGGGGCTATGGGGAAACATGGAACACACTATCTACCTTACAATGCAGGGTTTGGAGTTTTAGCCAGGTCTAAGCACTCTCACGCAGGGAACCGCACACTGCCCTGTGTAAGCTTTTTAGAAACTAAAAACTTAGATTTGAGCAGTTTGGAAGTGGATCAGGATGGAAAGGTGGCTTGGGAAGGCAAGTTTTACTACTTATGGTCTCTCCTGTAAAGAGAAGCTGCTTTTCACCTAGTATGCCTAGTTAACTTCAAAGGAAACCTTTATTGAGAGAATTATGGTGCTGCCATTGTTGACGACCTCCTTAAACCTCTTGTGTCCAAAGGTCATTGATTCCTAGATGTCCAGGCCAAATTTAGCAGCATCTGATTGGTTCTAAATTGTCAGTGGGGACCCTGGCTGTCAGTAAAAGTTGGGATTGAGAGCTAGCAACTACACAAAGTGTCATCTGCTGGCTCTAATAGGGGTGAATACTTATTAATAGGTCCTTACCACAGGGCATCCTGTCAGGGAAGTATTTTTAGAGGGAGAGGTCAGAAATGGCAGCTTCCATATTTTCCTTTCATTGGTTTTCTTTAACATAATTCTTTGGTAAGGCTTCTCGCTATATTATTACTGCTTTATTGAAAAAAAGCCTCCCAATACTATATCACAATAGCTAAAATTCTAAATAACAGCTGGATGAGTAAAAGCAGTGATATATCTCCCTTCCTGGCTGCTGTGTACATTTGCCAATCCAAACATTTTCATTTCAGAGATGTATTGTAAAGGTAAACAGTTTCTGCTGTGCTCTCTTTAGAAAACCCACAATGCTAAGTGAATCCTGTGAACTGATTGAATTAGAGGAGTAACTAATCCTGCTACCTATCGGACTATTGAGATAGAACTTTCAATACAAGAGAGAGCTGGTCACCCTGAATTTTCAGTTAGGGAGAGAGAGCCTGAAGAAAAACAGCCTCTCCTGTGCTCTTTCTTTAGCACCTGTAATGTCCTTTAACACCCATGTTAAGGGTGCACTTTGCATTAAGTGTTTTTTATGTAAAAAAAAAAAAAGAACACATTTTATACACATAGGTATAACCTCGGTTGTAAACCTTATAAAATTAAAATTAACAAAATCTGAATCCATTAGATCTCTCCAATACACATGAACATTTCCCTATGTTACATCACTTTAAAAATACTGAAAGTACTCAAAAAATCCTGATGATTCAGCCAGAAATGCAGTCAGAGTTCTTCCCTGCTGGGCTATGTCAGTACATCCCCCTCTTCTCATCTCCATAATTCCTCCATGTTTATATTCTCAGCACACACCCCACTCCCATACCAGCTGCCTTCTGTTTCTTCTCCTAAATCACTATTTTAGAGAAGCAGAGGCCACATTGTCAACCTACACTACAGGAAACTAGGAGCTGGCTGCATTTTCTGGCAGGATCATCAGGTATTTTTTAGTACTTACAGGCAGAAAATGGGGACGTGTATACATATTGATGAGCTGTGCTAATTATTTTTTAGATTTTGCCAAAACACACACTTTTATCACTTCCATCACTTCCATCATGGTGGCTTTGCAATTGAAATAATTTAAGTATTTGGCCGTATAAAACCTGAAACTTTAAATAATAAAATTGACCCACAATCATTACAGATTACTTCTAACATTAGAATAAGGGGCTGGTGGCCAAAACAATATACAAGTTTTCATATTACTTACATAAACAGAAATTATTACAGTGGTTTAAATTTTCCTAGGGCATTCATAAAATCATACCCATACAGCAGTACTGAATGATAAATCATGCATTACACTATTTAAACAGACTTTAAAAAGATGGAATCTATATATGCACACATGCAAAGCCACAAGAAAGAGTACATGTGTGCAAAATGCCTGATAAAACCTGCCACAACTTTTCTGAATAATTTCCTTTTGTACGTGAACAAACCGTATTAGGTTGCACTGATTTTAGACCCAGTATCAGACAATCTCTATTACCACTCATTTCTTCACCCTCACAGTACCTTATTTTTGATAGCAAGATTCAGATTGTGAGAATGTTGTAGTTTATGGCCAGCATTTGTTTTTAGTAGGAAACCTCTGTAGCTAACAACATGAACAGCACCATGACATGTAGAGGTTATGCACAATACTCCATTGCATATAAAACTAATCTCTGGCAAAAACTTGTACTGAACTGTGATTATATGTTTTAATATACAGTTTACATATACAGTACATACACTGATCAGCCATACTCCTAATATTGCGTACGTCCCCCGTTTGCAGCCATAAAAGCCCTGATCCGTTGAGGCATAAACGCCACCAAACCACTGAAGGTATGATGTGCTATCTGGCACCAAGCCATCAGTAGCAGATCCTTTAGGTCCTGTAAGTTGCAAGGTGCGGCCTCCTCTGCACCCTATGTGTACCAATGAGCCTTGGCTGCCCATGACCCTGTCGCCGGTTTACCGGTATTCCTTCCATGGACCACTTTTCGTAGCTACTGACCACTGCAGACCAGGAATATCCCACAAGAACTGCAGTTTTAGTGTTGCCCTGACCCAGCACTCTAGCCATCACAATTTGGCAAAGTCACTCAAATTCTTACATTTGCCCATTTTTTCTGCTTCCAACACATCAACTTCAGGGACAAAATGTTCACTTGCTGCCTATTATATCCCACCCACTTCCAGGTGCCATTGTAACAAGATAATCAATGGTATTCACTTCACCTGTTAGAGGTCATATTGCTATGGCTGATTGGTGTATATATCCATCTATAAGTCCAATGGTGGGCACTGCACAAGTAAAAACTGCACTCAAGGCAAGTAGATACAAATGGTCACGTGGCTCTTGTATTGAAGCAATATAAATTGATTTATTGTTTGCCATTGTAACACTAGGCACTACTTGTCTATCGCAAGAAGGACAAGCAGTACCTTTTTAAGCATAGTGAAAATGTCCAAATTGGGCCCAAAGTGTCAATATTTTGTGTGGCCACCATTATTTTCCAGCACTGCCTTAACCCTCTCGGGCATGGAGTTCACCAGAGCTTCACAGGTTGCCACTGGAGTCCTCTTCCACTCCTCCATGACGACATCACGGAACTGGTGGATGTTAGAGACCTTGCGCTCCTCCACCTTCCGTTTGAGGATGCCCCAGAGATGCTCAATAGGGTTTAGGTCTGGAGACATGCTTGGCCAGTCCATCACCTTTACCCTCAGGTTCTTTTGGTGTGTTTGGGGTCGTTATAATGTTGGAATACTGTCCTGCGGCCCAGTCTCCAAAGGGAGGGGATCATGCTCTGCTTCTACAGTCAAGCATGGTGGTGGGAGTGTCATGGTCTGGGGCTGCATGAGTGCTGCCGGCACTGGGGAGCTACAGTTCATTGAGGAAACCATGAATGCCAACATGTACTGTGACATACTGAAGACGAGCAATTCAATTTTTTTTTTTAACTGCTTAACTACATCATATTTTAATAAGCAGTAAGAATCTCTCTCCACGGGCAGCTATAACTGATATTTATTTCCATTTCCAACAGCTTTGTACTGAATTTATTTAAAATCAGCTAACAATAGAATCAGTTTAATGAGCGATTAAATTTGTGTCATGAAGTTCTATTCATTCTGACAAGTTCAAAGGTTTAGGCTTCAAACCAATTCTACTTACCTCAGTAGCATGAATTATTGGATACAATGAGATGACACTAGCTGTAAGGGCTCAGGGTGCTGTATTCATCTATTCTTGCATTTTCAAGGGCTCTTAAATGGCCAAGGAAGGATTCTCATAATAATCACTGAAGCCACATACACATTTTCCTCTCTGTCCTGTGTAGCTGCATTATATTAGGCTGCACTGTACAGGGACTCATCATCATTATTTTGCAGTTTGGTACAGTATATTAAAGCAGTATGTTCATCAACACATATTGCAATAAAACGCTTTCACACAAAAATGGACACAATGCAGTACACGTGCATCATTGGATTAGATTATGGTAAACAGTTGTGGCATGGAAACATACATTGAATCAATTAAATGCACATAAAATACAAAAATTTAAATATGTCATTGTAATTTGCTGATTATATTTAAAGATGTGTATTTAAATGCCTATTTGCATAAGACCTAAAGCTGCCTTCCCTATTTTTATCCTATTTGTTGTGCATCTTTCTAATTAGCTCCCTTAGACCCTACCAAATGTAAAATGTTATAGGATAGCAAGGGTCATCTGGCTACAAAAACTCCTTCTGTGGGCTTAACAAAATGGTTGCTAGAAAAACTTCAGCTAGATATCACATATCAGAAATCTAAAATACATAGCACTTTCCATAGCACCAGAATCAAAAAGAGATGATAAAGAACTGTATAAGATATTAAAATGACGAAAGATGTAAATTTAAAATAAAGCATGTATCTATATAAACTGTATGAGAAGAAGATATTTTTATTTTCTGGGATGTAAAAGAGGGGATCATTTTCTTGCTTTGCCATCTCTTAGCTGTGACTACTTTTCCTACTTCAAACTGGTGCTGATTCAGACCCAACAAAGTCAACATATAATAAGTTAAAGAGCCGTATATGCAAATTACAGGCATCAAACAGAACTCTGGTAATCCAGAGCATGAAACATCAAATGCAAGTACAGCCTTTTCTTGTTGTAAACACAGCTCATCGAGCTCAATGTAAAAACAGCCTGTAGCTTAAGCACAAACTTTACTATTTTTTGTTGTAAAGGCAAAAATGGGTCGCAAAATTTCCATGTTCATGCAGAACACACAGAACACCTTTCAAAAATTTAACAATGGGGTGACAGGTATCTGTTAAATGCATGTGTAAGATGTTTATAGAATTCCTCCGGTGGACAATGAAAGAGACTTGTCAACAGATTTTGTTGATGAAGTATGCAAGCCAGAAAGCAAGATGGAGTTGATTCTTTCTGAATACCTTATTTCCATCAGCAGGATTGTGGATTACGGTAGTTTGGGGCTCCTGAGTAAGAACAGAGAGAAAGAGAGTACCTATGGGTAAGTACAGTAGCACAGAAAGAAAGACACCCATGCTGGAATGTTGCTGGCAGCACTAGATACATGTGAAATGCTGCCAAAGAATGAACCAGGATTGTTGCCCTGGGTGAAGAAAAAAAAAAGATATGTTACCTACCAGAGCAGCATGCAAAGACCTTATTCAGGATTGGTGTGAAGAAGGAGAGAAGACTACCTCTGTCATTACATCAGTAGTAAAGAACTAACGGGTCAAGGTATGACATCCTCTGACTACAGAAACAGCTTAAAAAAACCATCTAGATCGCCAATATTCTGTATCATTACCACAAGCAGCATGGTTTCCTGTAATGTGTGATTATACAGTATATGTGCAGTAAAAACATTAGTGTATTTAACCAAATATTCTAAATTTATCACGTGGTCAGTGTTATACACTTGAATATTCCTCAAGGTATTCATACCTCAGGCAATTTGGTAACATCTTTATGTGCCTTTAAAAACAGGAACAATATCTGAATAAGGTCATTTTGTTGTTGCCTAGAGATACTTTTGCTAGCTCCCCTTGATGTCCAAGCTAATGTAAAGTATATTCCTTTTTACTTTAAGCCATTCAAGTATATTGACCAAAAGGAGAGCTAGTGGCAACACAAAGCACACTCTACTCACGTTGGGACAACACATGCACATGTATGAGCTTATCTAATCAAACGCCCACCTGTGGCAGGTTAGCGGAAAAACATACTGCTTACACAAGGTACTTGCCCACAAAATCACAACAAAAATGCAACAGTTTAGGTCTTCAAATGCAAAATAAACATTAAAGCAAAAGAGAATTAAAAAAAATCTCAAATATATGTGGGGGAGGAAAAAGCTATTTATACCAGAGGTGGGTTGGGATCTTTAGGACTTGTTATTACATTGGTTTTGTTGTTCATCTGTGGATATGAAGAAAATAGAAAGAAAGACAAGCCTTAGGTATATAGTGAAGAAGTCAAAGCACATAGAGAATCACAAAATATTTTCAACACATCGGAGTGCGTAGTAGTTAGCTGATGGTCAATGGGAAGCAACTACAGATACTAAAGGGGATAAAAGTGGTGGTAGCATCAAATTGCAATTCATTTGACCTAAAGCACATTTTGAAAATGAAAGCAATAATTGCATGGGGTCAAACAAGTAACAACTCCACTTTTCATTTTCTCAAATTCTCATCTAAAAGATCACAGAAAGGGGCATTTAAAGAAGGTTTCCACTTTTTTTAAAGAAATGGAAAACCTCTGAACTTTCCCACATGCTGCTGATTTATAGGGATGATTATAGGGGTAATTTATAGGGGTGTCTGACTTTGGACCCCTGAAATTCAGACAATTTAACTGGCCAACCTACATACAGTAGCAGAAACAGGCATTGCATAAAATAGTTTTTCTTTCTGAAGTTAAAACCCATGAATCCTAGCTGTGCCAATGTGGAGCTGTCCAGGTTCTGCTGCAGTAGCAGAGATGCCAAGTAGTTACAACATACCACTCAGCAACAGTGGTTCAAGTACAGAGGCTTTCCACTTACTTTGAGGAAGGACAGAACCTGTTAAAGGAGAGAAAAATGAATTTGCCATGAACTTTATTTTACAGAAACAAAAGAAATTTTCTGCAAATAAAATAAATACAGAGAGCAATTTTGGTTTGGATACCACTGTTCACCTTAGTGACATGGAGATCAGCAAGAGGAAACAATGAAAGTAGCGGCCCAGGTGATCGACATTCTGAGACTGTCCATTTGCAAGCCTGTGCCATTTTTACAAATGGGACTGGCTTGCTTTAAAGTAAATGTAAACCCTAACTGTATTACATTTAGTTTGCTAAATTACTCTGTATGTACCTTTGTTGAATCATCGTGCTTTTGATCTCCTGCAGCCTTTTTTCAGGCATTCCCTTTCAATATGCACTCCAGTGTGGGTTTCCTGACAACAGTGGAACGTGTCTGTTAAATCTGTCGGGATGGCCCCTTTTAATCTCCATCGTGACAGGGTAACAATGCAGAAGCACAATTGAAAAAGAGGGACAGAGAGTTGTTACCTTGTAGCAGAATGTGCCTGAACAAGGACCCTCATGGCAGAATCAACAGGTATTATTTAAATAAAAGCTACAGATGTAAAAATATTGGAAATTACTTGTGAAATTAATTTAACATGTTAATAGGTTTACATATACTTTAAACATACATCAGTTTGCTCACATAATTCCCTAAATCTCTACGTTTTAGATACACGGCAGATGACTGCGCATACACTGTTATCTTCTTGTATCTGTAAAATACATTTTGAGACAAGAGTCCACAAATATAAATAAGGGACACGTGCACAGTGATGTAAGAGCTGACATTTTATTCTAGTAAAATTTAAATCAGTTATCCTTGTACTAAACACTTGTTGTGTGTGAAAGAAAAACGATCCATGCCTAAAGCATTTATCAACTAGATGTAAATGGCTGTACACTGAAGTGTGCTATCATTTTACATAAAAAAATATGGATATAAACAATACTTGCATGGAATGTCCAGAAAGCTTGAGTTAAGGGATTTTCCCAGCAAAGTTCTTTTTTCAAAAGTATGCTAAATATATTAAATGATTTGAGCCTCATATATAGCAAAGGTACCGTTTGTACAGTTTAGTATGCAGATGTGTGTGGCCAAAAGCAGCTATAAATCTATGTTAACATTATCATGAAGACCATAAAAAAATGTTCTATGGGATACATAAGCCACAAATTAGTGCAGTTATATACAAGCATTAAAGTGTATGTTATCCCAAAAATTAAGATTCCCAAAAATTAACATTCCATATATGTGTTGGTGTATTAAAAAAAGTCCTAGTTCAGATGGGTTGCGTCTTTACACCTTCTGAAAAGCGATCTGTGGTGGATCGCTTTTTTTTTAGAGGGCAGTGGAGCAGCGGCTGCCCGGCGTTAAGGAGTCAACACTACCATCTCCTGAATGTAGGGGTTTTTATTTATCCCAATGGGATTCTGTACAGAAGTACTGCACCACAACCACATACCCACGTGGTTGCGGCATGGTCTCATTCTTTTTAATTGTCACCTTTCACAAACCTCACCATCTTTCAAACGGGACATGCTGTATGTTTTTGTGTCAAAACATTGACACAAAACTGTGTGGCCGCAGTGCTACCATTGCATCGGGGGCTGGGGCAGTAAAACTGCACATCAACTGCATGTTTTTTTTTTTTTTTAAGCATGTCAATTTTTTATTAGGTATAAGAAAATACAAACATGTGCGATGTTCGGCAGTTATCACGACTCAGGTTGCAGTACGCAGACTGCACCTGAAGAAGTTGCATATCGATATACATCAAATGTAACTCAAAACAAACCATAACAACATATTAAAGGAAATGCGTCATAACCATATCAATTCCCTAATGAGGGAGCCCAAATAATCAAGATCTGGCTGGTGGACAACCCAACTGTATGGTTTTAACACCCCCTGACCACTTGTGTAAATGAGGCATAAGTGTAAAATAACTATTTTAAATGTGACAAGTGTAACTACCCTAATCTCTTCTGATATCAATCTCCCATAATCCCCTGCACCACAGCACTCAGTCTGAAAGACGAAGAACACCACTGGGAACCAACCAGGCTCCGAAGCATGCTCATGTACTGAATGTGAACAAGCTGACAGGAAATCAGAGTAACCTAATGTTGAAAATAATATATCTACACATGCAAAGCAGTTCTGTGCAACAACATCAATTTCAGGGATGAGAAGTAAAAGGTGTGAAAGTCATACTTAAAGGCACTATACTCAGGAGTTTATTTTAAAAACGCATTCAAGTACCTTAACCATTATTAAAAATCTAGCTTATTTGTGTATCACTCAGCTGGCTCAAAGATGATGCAATAATGTAAATCCTGGTGTCACTTAAGATTTTGGCCGTACTCACAAATGTCTGACACAGATCAGCTTGTTACTGTAGCTTCCCACCTTGTGACTTGTTAGAAAGTTCCAATGTTGCAGTCTGATGACCTAGGCAATGTCACTTGACAGGAGGCTACATTACTCACAAGGTGCCATCCCCCTCCAGGGGATCAAGCACAGTCTGTGCTCGAACAGCTGAAACAGCTGAAGCAGTAGGTGTCTAATAGACTTCTGATGTATCCACAAAATGTGCCTGCTCAATGCAATCTTGCTAACTTACTTGTGTTATCAATTGTCAAGTGAAAAAAGTGTAAAAAAAGACAATATAATACAATAAATAAAAATAACACAAACGAGTTTAAAAGCACCGCCACCGCCACACGTATGTATGTGTATCGCCGTAGATACCAGAGAGAAAAATAATTCTAGTTTACTCATTTACGGTTAACTCTAAAGTGATGACCTGTAATTGCATTTAACACATGGCCTATTAATAATTTTGGGTACTGTCATTTTTTGCTGTTACGTGAATGTGAAAAGCAAAATCCTGTTTATGTATTTCATCTGTACATAATTGGGTATTTCAAGTGAACACAGCAACAATGTATTAAGTTTTACTTTTGTAAATCAGCCTCAGTGTGTTAAAATTGCAAATCTGCAAAAGCTAGAGAGTTGGAGACTAGAAAGGACAGCCTCAAAATTTGATTCAAAGTTTTACTTTTGTAAATCAGCCTCAGTGTGTTAAAATTGCAAATCTGCAAAAGCTAGAGAGTTGGAAACTAGAAAGGACAGCCTCAAAATTTGATTCAAAGTCTTTAACAACTTGAAGTCCGCGGTGTTTACACCACCTTCCCATCAAGGCCATTTTTCAGTATTCAGCGCTGCAGTACTTTGAATGACATTTATTCCGTCATGCAACGCTGTACTGAAATACATTTTATACTATTTTTTAGGGACAGATAGAGCTTTCTTTTGGTGGTATTTAATCACCACTGGGGTTTTTACTTTTTACTATATTAGGGAAAAATTACTGAAATTTGTTTAAAAAAAACAACTGTTTCCCGTATGTTAAATGATAAAACATTCATTATTACCCCATTTTTTGGTAACATATAAAAGACGGGGTCACGTCAGATAAAAAGACATCAAACATGTCAAGCCTTAAAATTGTGTGCGCGCGAAACCTCAAAAAACGATAATACCCCAAATTGGCCATAGGCGACGCTTTAAAAGCTTTTACCGCTCATCAGTTTAGTGTTATCAGTGATTGATGGCCCTAAAATGATTGCTCTCACTCCGACGTTCACGGCGATATGTAACGTGTGTAGCGCAATTGTCGTTTCCGCGCGCTGGTGTACCGGACGCGTATTTACGTTTATATGTGCGTAAACATGGCGGTGGGGAAATTTTTGGGGGTTTTTAAAAAACTTTTTTGATATGTGACTTTTTTTTAAAACTCTTTTTAGGTTTTTTTAAACTTAATGTCATTGCTATTGCATAGGGGGATACAAATCCCCCTACATAATAGCAAAGGCACACTGACAGGTCCTCTTTATGGAGACATTAGGTGTCTCTAAGACCCCTAATATCACCTGGGGACCCCAAAAGAAGCTGATGAAGCAGAGATCTTCATCAGCTTCTTCTCTCTGGCAATAGCAGCCAGATGACTGACAGATGAATGCAGAAGTTATGTATTTACACATTACGTCCGCATTCACAGCACGGAGGGAGGTCAGCAAGGAGGAAGATGCTGATCTCCATCCCATATTACCTCCTGACACCCTCCCGAGCCGGTTCCGGGCCGCAGATGGGGCAGTGGATCCCGGGATTGAAGGTGAGGGGTCAGGAAGGGGGGGCAGCAGCGGCACTCGAGGGGGGGGGTCACGCAGCCAGCACATACACACGATCGGCAGGCTATAGAACCGCCGATCGTGTATATGTGAAACAGCCGGTAACGGCTTTTTACATCGAACTGTTTTTTTCTGCCCGTGCGCGGGCGCTAGGTTAATAAGCAGCAAAATTAAACTTAGATATTTCAAATATATGTTCAATGATATGTCGGTTGTCAGGGGGAAATACACAGTAAAGAAAATTCACTGCCTATCTTGGGCTGAACAGTTTTTTCAATAAAACAATCTCATTGGTAAATCATTGGGAGCTGAAAATATCTTGAACACCCACTTGTAATTATACTTTCTCCAGGACTGTACCAATAAAAATAAATGGCACACATTGTGCTCATAGATGAGGATAACTCCAGTTCATTGGTGCGGCAAATCTACATTTTCCCTACCCCCATCTTCCCCTGCAGATTAACTAATTGGCAGCATAATATTATTTAATATTTGATTTTTTATTTTTGTATTCCTTGGCTGAATAGCTGAACTATGCACATCCTCATACAAATGAATGTACTTTTGATCCACTGCCTAGCAGAGATCTTTAGCTTTGTGAGAGGAATATTATATTGCACGGGACTTGTGAGTCAAGGCTTTACTCTGACCCAGAAACTGTTTTAGAATGCTGAAGAAGTGGTTTTTGTATCATGCAGTATTTCGCCAAAATACACTCTGGCATTACCATTTTGAAGTGTTTCCTGGAAAGCCTTTTTCTACACTCTTAAAGGGATTTTCTAAAAGTGTGTGAGAATCAATTAACATGTCTGATCAAAGTCTGTCTGGCCAACAAAAGTACCAGTGGGCCACTACAGCATTTGTGTTGGTACAACATTGACTGCTCTATAATATTCCAAAAACATAAATAAATACATTTAAAATGGACACTATGGCATGAGATAGGTGTTTTGCATAACATATCATTTGTAATTTTATGGTGGGCTTTGCATATTTTAACTGGATAGTAGATTCAAATGTATCATCATTTGCATGTTCACTTATAATTTTTTAGAAGAGTAAAGGACAGAATCATTATATTTTTTTTACTATTTATGGACCAAAAACTAGCACCCTTGATACTGACAGTTCAAAAAAGAAATATAAGCACACATCCACCTCTATAAACATAATATAAAATTAGCATGTTCTTCATATACTGTGGTTCACTAATTACTCTTGTTCTTCATGCACAAGCTATTAAGCCACACCTAAATATCATTTTTAAATATTGTAAGTTATTTTGGCTAAATAACATCGGTGTTTGCCTGTGACATGAGAATGTTATCTGAAGTCAAAAAGCATCTATTTCTCTACTGTTTGTAAATTTATGAGGTAAAGATGAAAAGGAGGAGAAAGAAACACTTTCTGCCTATTTCATAGTAATATAAAATCATACTGTATGTTTGACTGTTGTGTCACATCCAGTCTATTTAGTTTGCACAAAAACATGCAAGCATTACAGGGAAGGCAATTCCGAGATGCATTCCAACAATATTTACTTCTCCATTAAATAGAATACATGTATAAATTATTTTTTTGCACTTTTCCTTACATCTAGCAAATGGGCCGTGGTAATGACTATTACTAATTTTTTCATGTCAGCAGCAATGTTTCATGTCAGTCTGTCAGCAATTATACAGACTTATTTTTATGGGAGTTAATCTGACATTCACCAAACATTCACTGGAGGCGAATCTGTTTAAAATGACAGTTATCGATTCACTACTGGCGAATGTTTGGTGAAAGTCACATTTGCTTTTTCATAAATATTCCCCTTAGTATCCTAGTATGTACATACTGTATGTATTATTTTTCTGATACTCAAATTTACTAAGACTAGACTTATTTTATATAACACATTAGTATAATAGATTACTTTATAGAACATGATCCCTATCAACAAGTAAAGATCAGTAGTCGTAATTATAATATAATAATTTAACGCATTTATATGTGGCTCTTTATACAAATATCATACAGAGGAAGAGAGTTGCCCCATCACTTTCACGTAGGCTTTTCGATCAGGTTTGTCTGTCAGTTTTTCAGACGGACCTGATCAAAAGCCCGATGTTAGTCTATGGGCAGCTAGATCTAAGCGGACAAGTATCCATTTACATTCGGTTACCCCTGACTCCAGCCAGGTCTGGAAAAATGAACAGATCTGTGTTGTAAAGCAGTGGAGCTTCATTTCAGTAGCTCACTAACAGGGCCTCTTTTCATTTGAACCACATTAATCGCTAACACACATACAGCATATCACATATTTGCTTGCTGACATAACTGAAAAATACGAACTATAAAAGGAGCCTTGATGACCAGGATTCAGTACCACTGTTCTAGAGAAGAGTTATAATATGTTTTCACTACTTATGGGTCCTATATTTGAAATAGAAAATATCCAGTGACTAGTCAAAAGAATATGCACTCTCCCATCAATGATTTATGTTATGGTTCAACAGTTGATATAAATGAACATGAAATACACCTACACAAACTAAAGTCAGTACAGCCAATATTAAGTCTAGTAATTCATTAAGCACTAATCGCATTTCTGGGATAGGAAGTAGAAGTGAATAGATTTATATTCATCTATAATAGATGAACATTGGCATAGTTGATAGAATAGCTGCCTACATTCCCCTGGGTCAGCAGAAGTTAGCACTAACAGTGGTATACAGAAGTATATTTAAAGCAGAACTATAGGCAAAACGTCTAAATACACAGGTGAAATGTGTGTGTGCAAATATATATATATCTGTTCCTCCAATTTTGCAATTCAAAAACTCTTGCAAAACAGCACAGCCAGGTCACTGGTCTTACTCTTTCCCACTGCAGCTAAATAAACACAGCTTGGTCAAAGACCTCTTTGGCCGCTACAAATGTGCAGCAGGACACTAATAAAGATTATAACTCCTAAAAACAAGCTTTCTGTATTGAACTGACTATATAATGCAGTGAAGCCTGGCTGGTTTACAGTAGTGCCCCTTCTTTTTTCCAACGTGAGTCCTGAAGTACAGGGGAATACAGGAGGTTAATATTAAGACAGATTGAGGTATTATTTTCAAATACATTTAAAGCTGTACTCTGGGATAGTCAAATAGTGTTCAAATAAAGGAGGCATGTGTATTCCTCCTTGGAATGTTGGTGTGCTTTGTGTATTTGTTCCAGATCTGTACGATAATCTGGTGTGGGCTACCTGTAATCAAGACCAGGCACTGTTGCTTTCGCTGGTTGTGCAGAGTGACTGGTCTTGTATCTGTCCCTTCCTCTATCTGGCAGCTTCTAATGAGTGAACCTGCTGAGTCCCTGCTGCAGCTCTGTTCTCTGCACAATGTGCAGCACAGTGATGATGTCATCACTGTAACTTTTCCAAAACTATTAAAAGAGAACTAAGGGGAGAGTGAAACGCACTCATCCCCATAGTTACAGCCAGTGTGTAACACTGCAGCTGTCACACAGCGGCTCTATAGCTTGAGAACTGAACGATCTTAAACCGCTGATCGCTCAGATCACGATCTTCATCTGAAGAGAGTGGTGACTGTCAGTCATCGCACCCAGCAGGGATTCCCCCCTCTGTTCCCCCAGTGCTCACTGGAGAGACAGAGAGGGGAGGGGACAGGCACAGCCGCCTCTGGCTCTAAATAGCTGTCAATTAGGTAGCGGGATGGATCTCAACAATATTGTCAGGATCCTTCCTGGCTGCAGCGTGGCTCTATGCTGTCAGTATATAGCAAGCGGTAGCCTGCTATTTGATGAGTTTTGGGTAACAGGAGGACATTAGTAAATGCCAAACAAGGTTTGGGTAAATTTTCTTCTGAGTTTGCAAAGGCAATTGGTACACACAAAGTAGTTTTGGATCCTCTGTGGCTATAAAAGAATATATTTCAATTAAAGTTTTTGTGTCTAGAGTTAGCACTAGGGATTTTAAAAATTACACAATTGAATTAAATGTGAGTCTTTTAGATCTGTCTATAGTTCTGCTTTGAAATCCAAAAATTGTGAAAAAATACCTGAAGAACTACAAGAAAAAAGTAACAATTAGCTATTTAAAATGTAAGGACATGCAAAATGAATTAGTAATTATTTCAATACACTGGTCACTTTTTCAGTAGTGCACTGAACATCCACATCTAGACACCATACACTGTCTACCACAATATCTGAAAATGTTGAAATATCAAAGAAAAGATGTGTCATACATCATAGTAGTTAAAAACCATTAGAATGTATTGGTCTAGTATAAAACATAGCACCTTCACAGTACCCAGGTTGCTGAAATCTGGAATATGTCCTGTAAATAAATCCAAGCTTACCTTGACTCCATCAGGTTTCTTCAGTAAACTTCGTGCTGCTGTAAATGAATAAAAGTTTTTATATTAAGAAAAATTCAAACAGAAACAACCTGTGTTGGAGAAATTAGAAATCTTTTTTGTAGGCTTTGTAGACTTTTGAGTTTTATAATAGATAAAAAAGAATTGTAAGTGGTAATTTAAGGAGAAAGTGGATACCATTGTACATGAAAAGCTGAATAGTTTAGAGACTTTTCTAAAGATATAACAGTGTCCATACACTTCAAAAATAACAGATTTATCAAAGGCATAATTTAAAGGACAAGTCAAGCCACAAATATACGTAGGTAACTTACGGTGCTGGGCATTAGGCTACGTTGAAAATGCATGAGTTACTTTAACTGTATTTGATATTTTATCTCACAAAATGTTTCTAATAAATCTGTTCCATTCACATTCATTCTTTTAGACCGAACTACATTGGTCGAGCTGTACATGCAACTCACAATCCCAGAAAAATAAAACTTCTGGGAGGCCCCTCTCTTGTACTACACAGAAGGATAGCCCTAATTTGGTCTTTTGTCACCAGAATTTTGCATGCTCAGCAATTGTAGTTTATAATAATGCATTTTAAATGTCATAATGAAAGTGCATGAACATATGACATTTGATAAATCTAGCAATTAATGTAATATATTCCTTGCATTAAAAACTGTGATCAATAATTCAGTAGCTCTGAATTTCACAAAAGGCCATTCACACATAATGGCAACTTTATATAAAATGTGCTCTTATTTTATTTGAAGCATAAACAAATGCACGTATTAATAGAGTTATGCTTTTTTCCCTATTATTTGCACCAGGACATGGTGACAAACTGCCAAGAGATGCCAGTTTGAAGCAGCTACAGTCACCTAAGAATCAGTGCATAGCTTTGGAGAACACTAGTTTACAAATAGTAGTATAGTACTATATGTAGTGTCAAGGTTACATTTAATTATACTTTAAAGTAACCCTGCTGCCTAAACCTACATCACTACTAAGATCTATAGAGACATAGGGGTCTATTCACGAAGCAGCCAAAGGATCTAGCCGTAGCTTCGGCTGGCTAAGGCCCCAGTACCCCTTCGGTTCAGTAGAACCGAAGGGCTGCTGTACGGGCTATTCACTATAGCCCTTACAGCTCCCGGCGGGCTCGACTGAGCCGAGGTGAAAGCCAAAGCTGGCCGAGGGGCCGGCCATTGGCCGGCCGACAGCCTGCTTCTGACAGCTGGGCGGAGCCAGACGTGATCTTACGGCTGGCTCCGGCCACTTGCAGAGAGATCAGCGTCCCTGGTTACCAGCTAACCAGATACATTGATCTCCAGACAGCCTAACTCTCCCGGGCGCTCCGGAAGTCTCCCGCTCCCGCCCGCCCAGGAGAGAAACACTGCTTTTTCTGGCGTCAGAATAAAAAAAAAAAATGTTTCGCCATAGGAATGCATTGCTAGATTCCTATTGGCTATTTCAATTTGCAATAGCCAATAACAAACTAGCTATTGCACCCGCCCACTGCTGCTGTCAATCAGCAGAGGGGGACCTGCAGTTCTCCATCAGGCCTCCCTCTGGTGATTTACAGCAGCAGAGGGTGTGTGCAATAGCTAGTTTGCTATTGCATAGTGAAATAGCCAATAGGAATCTAGCTAAGCATTCCTATGGTGTGTTCGTTTTTTGACGGGAGCAGAACCGCCCGGTCAATAGAAAACAGTTGGGCGAAGCTAGCTGCTAGCTCCGCACAATTGTTTTCTCACTGCTGTTCGGCATCTATGAGAATAGACCGAACAGCAGCGAGTAGCCTGCCGGAGGTTTGGCGTAGCCGATCCAGATGTTGGATCGGCTGAGCCGAACTCCTTCTGCACTTCAGGTCGGCCGAACATGCTGAGCTGGAATCAACCGTACCAGCCTGAAGTGAATAGCCGAACAGCGTTCGGCTCACTTCGCTTGGGGTCGGTTAGTCATTGGCTGCCTGCGGCAGCTTAGTGAATAGACCCCTTTGTGTATTATGCCCTGTGTGTTGCGTTGTGTATTATGCCCTGTGCGTTGCGCTGTCTGTGTGTGTCTGTGTTATGCCCTGTGTGCTGTGCAGTGTGTATTATGCCCTGTGGTTTGTGGTGTGTGTGATTCTTTTTTTTTTGACGGCAGCCGAACCGCCGGCCTATAGAAAACAGTTGGGTGAAGCTAGCTGTCATTGCTAGCTCCGCACAATCGTTTTCTATTTATTTTTTTGTACTTTTTCACTAATTTTCTGTTCTGCTCGCTCCCACAGAGGGAGCGAGCAGAACAGCCGAGCCGAATGCCGCTCAACGGCATTCGGCTATTCACTCACTGCTGTTCAGCATCTAAAAGAATTGACCAAACAGCAGCGAGTAGCCTGCCAGAGGTTCGGCTTAGCCGATCTAGATGTTGGATCGGCTGAGTCGATCTCTTTCTGCACTTCGGGTATGCAGGGATAGATCGAGAAGTGAACAAGCGTCGGTATGTGTTCGCTCACTTCCCGATCTACTGAGCCGACCTGTGACAGTTTCATTGTCACAGGTCGGCTCAGATTATGAGGCTGAGTGAAAATCACTTGCCTCATAATTCTCCTTTAAGAAAAAGTATCACTAAATGCGGCACTTGGCAGGGCTAAACTTGAGAGCCCTGCTGGGCATCCCCTATTAGTACTCTCATTCTTTGTGAATGCACATACAGCAACATGCATTGCTGATGTGTTCTTGAATAAGACCAACTGTCATTCCGATACCTGCAAACATTACAGAAGCCTCATTTAATTTAGATATATGAATTAACCCAGTAAAAACATTCCAAAATTCATATAGATATGTATATAAACAAATGCTAGAACTTTCTTCACTGTGCTTATATGCATTTAGGTATAAAAAAGAATTATGTGAAAAACGTCACCACACCTATTGTAATTTTGCACATATGCGCTTTGCACATAAAAAGATGTATCAAAACAACAAAAAATGTGTTAGTAAACTAAAATATAGCAAGCTTTGCCTACTAACTTTAATTGCAAGACGTTGGTGACTTCATATGTCCTACCAAGCTATGTTGTGTATAAAAAGTTTTCCTGCCAATTCAGCTCACTTCCCAGTTCAGCTATGTTGTCCTAGATTGTTCACTTCTGCCTTCTCCAAACTCTTCACCCTTTTGTGAATAACCCTGATAGTATCATACACAACACTTCAAAAATGTAAAGTAGTTTGTAGTTTGTTGTAATGAAATATTAGTTTTGTCTTTTTAAAAATATCTTCATTTTATATATATATATATAAAACAATAGACCCAGTAATTACAAAGAACTTTTGGGATTGATAATGGCAGTTAATTACAGAAGACGCTTTGGACAAAAATCCCACCCATTTGAAAGCAAAAGTGATATAAAGTTAAAACATTAATTGAAGAATAAAAATATATTAGTACGGAAGCAGAAAGTGTAAGGATATATCCTAGTGCTTAGTAAAAAGAAAATCCTGCAGAACAATTTGTTCCATCAAGGGTTCCATCAAGGGTAGAGTAAATGAAGAAAGATGGAAAAAAACAGCAGTTTTTTTGGAATCTTACCTCACATGAAACACATTCCACATAAAAAGAAAATTAGAAAAGGGAAAATTAAAAACACAATTAAAACTACAGTAATATGAGCAGCTGATGTAAATGTCATGCCTTACAAACAGATATGTTGTATTGAATGGAAAGTCAGGTCTCAGTAGAACAAATGTCCAGAAACAGGCTATATGAGCCTCAAACAATGGTAACCTATAACAAAATAAAAAGAGCACGCGGACGTGCAGCAGTTCAAATAGAGTTTCCACTGAGTCTGCCAATGTCCAGTTTTGGCTTTGATAACATACAAAATTCCCTCTGGGTGCAGCCATGCTGATTATTTAGGCACAGAGCTCCCAATTATACTTGGAGATGTAAACGTTCCACAACATTCAGGAATTTTAAATGTAAACTTGATTATATTTTGAATACATTTTAGCGGAAAAAACGTGTAAGATGTAAGACTATGGAGGTCATTCACAAAGCTGCCGGAGGCAGGCCGAGTGGACAACCCAGTCGAACGGAAGTGAGCCGAACAACATTCTGCTGTTCACTCCGGCTCAGTATGGGTGATTTCAGCCGTGCGTTGCATTTGGCTCGGCTATGGCTTGGTACCAGAATAGAAAATATGTGAGAAGAATGAAAAAAAAAAGAGTTGAAAAACTATTTTTAAAATGTAAATAAATAGGAAAATTAAAAAATAAAGATATTTTAAAGAAGAAATCAAGAGGAAAAAAGAAAAACAGTTGGGCAGAGCTAGTGGTGACAGCTAGCTCCACGCAACTTTTTCCTATTTGCTGGCACCTGCCAGAGTCTTCTAGCAGGTCCTGGCCAATGAATAACAACTGGGTGGAGCCGGCGGTTTTTTAAGGACAGATCAGCATCCCCATGACCTGGGGATGCTGATCTGTCATTTCATCTGGGCGGAGCTTGCCGTGAGATCACGGCGTGCTCCGCCCAGCTGTCATTTGCGTAGAGATTGGTCAGCTTCGGCCAACCTTTCTCCACAATTCAGCTGTCACTTCGGCTCAGTCAAGCCAAAGCATATGCCTTCGGATCAACTGACCTGCTTGGCTTGCTGCTGCTATTCACAATAGCCCGGTTCGACTGGACTGAAGGGCAGAGGTGGCCAAAGAGAGCCGAGGATCAGTCGAAGCTACGGCTGTATCCTTCGGCTCCATAGTGAATAACCCCTTATATATTTACACAGGCAAACATTTTAAAAAGCCTTTCATTTTATGCAAAACAACCTGAATGGGAACACACCTTTCAAGATAGGGAGTGTCTTCTGAATGTTAATTAGATAAAAACAATAAGATCTCTGTTGTATATCTATCTATCTATCTGCGTGTGTGAGAGACATAGGATAGATCTGGCACAGACACAATCTGGCAACTATAGTTGTCCGATGAACTTAAAGAAGAGCTCCAAGCAAACGGTTTCTTAGCCCTTGCAGTGGGTTTACCCCTGCACTGCAAGGGTTAAGTGCTCGTTTT